CGTTCACAATTAAAACCGACAACAAACAGGACTCAAATATGTTACAAAAGCAAAAGATGAGCTTACAAAGAACCACAGTGAATCTGAGAAGGAGCTTGTCTCTGGAGTAATGACAGAATCACCAGCTGAGTGGATTATTATAAAAAAATGAAATTATTAAAAAGGGGGGTATCATGAGGAAATCAAACAACACTTATCGAATAACAAAACCATGAAAAAGATAACAGAACGTAACACCATACTAATAAAAATACAGTACGCCTACTAACTCCATATTAAATATAAAAGATCTCCACACGGACATTATTAACCAATGATATTCCTAAAAATGTAAAACTAAAACCAACAAGTAGTTAACAATATCTAATTATAGATTGAGGCCGGAGCTTGTAATTCATTGTTTATCGTTTATTGTTGTATATCATACATGTATTAGGTTTTCATTCAATATTTTGCGTATGAAAATGGCCTTTATTTTACTTTTATATTTTATAGTGTGTCTTTCTATGTTTAGATGTTGCACTATTGTTTAAGATCAGATAAGGGTGAAGGTTTGGTACCATTTAAACGTTTAAACCCGCTGCAATTGATTGCACCTGTCCTAAGTCAGGAATCTGATGTTCAGTAGTTGTCGTTTGTTAATGTGGTTCAAAAGTGTTTCTTGTTTCTCGTTTTTTATATAGATTAGACCGTTGCATTGGTTTTCCCTTTTTAATGGTTTTACACTTGTAATTTTTGGGGTCCTCAATAGCTTGCTGTTCGGTGTGAGCCACAGCTCCGTGTTGAAGACCGTACTTTGACCCTTAATGGTTTACTTTTATCAATTGAGACTTGGATGGAGAGTTGTCTCATTGGCACTCATACCAAATCTTTTTTATATCTATGTAATAGTTTTCTATAATTATTCTTAATTCACAAACACATTCCTTTTGGTTTATGCATTTCATTTCCGAACTAAATTCACTTACACAATTTTGCATCACAAATTTTATGTAGACTTTGCTTACTCTGTCTGGTTGCAGCTGTTGCTACATTAGAACTGTTGACAACTAAATACGCTATTACCTTTTAGCAAAACAAAACTATTCTCTGTTTACTTGGCTGTTATTGTACTGCCAGAATGTCGCTGCTGTTCTTTGTCAATCTTTGGGCATTTCTCTTCCGTATTTTTGTGGCACATTTGTTTTATTTCTATATGTTCTTCATACAGTTTTTGCATATTTCTATTTTTATTTTTATTCATTCAATTTTTCTGGGTTTTTTTTTATGACTTTACAATGGTTACAAGCCGCACGAGTGTCAATGCTAGGAGAGTATTCGGAATATTCTATCATCAGTTCAAGAAAACAAAATCTTGATAACTGAATATCAGACCAATCTCCCAAAATCAAACAACATGCTTCCGATCTTCAAACATTTCTTGCAATGATAGTTTTTGAAAATGTACAATATCTGCAGTCGAATCGAGCAGGTTGATCTGATTATTATTAGTAAAATAGTGTGTTAGTGACCTAATACGATATATACGGGGTCAGTAAATTCCATATGGAACTTACTGACCCCGTATATATCGTATTAGGTCACTAGCACACTATGTAACGAATTTATCTTACCGACTATCATTATTTGTGGAACTTAGACTAGAGCTGTCTCATTTGCAATCATACCACATTTTCTTATTTTTATATAAAATTATTCAAGTCTTCAATTTTAAGAACCTACTTCCAGTGGTCTGCACAAAAAACTAATGTCAAAAATAACAATTTAATATCAACAACCTTGATATAACAGTATTAAACAGAACTTTCAATACCTTTAGATAATCAATACATGTAGTGCCAAAGTCCACATTCAACACATTTTTTTGTGTACAAAATTGAAAAATCATAACTATAATGTATGTGAAAAATAAATGATGATGTCAACATGACACATGTAATATTTTCATCACAACTACTTGTCGATGGTCAGGTTATGTATAACAGTTACATTGCCGTAGAAGATATGACTATGAGGTTTCGTCGACTGCATACATGTGGTTGTTTGTCTGTTTTGAATGGGTTTCGGCCAATTGTCATCAAACTCTCCTAAAATATTCCCAATATCAATATCCTGTATTTGTTCTGCAAAATGTTGCACTATTGGAACTATAACTGCTCTTTGGAAAAGATTGTCGGATATTTTTATCCATTTTAATTTTCTCATCGGTATCAAAACGCTGGTAAGTTGTGAGTGACTGTACGGAATTATGTCCAGTGACTGCCATAATTTGCGCAGATTCATACATGTTTTGTGATAATACTGTGGTCACAATTTATAAAAGTCCAAGTCACAATTCATAAAAGTAAACCATTATAGGTCAAAGTACGGTCTTCAACACGGAGCCCTGGCTCACACCGAACAGCAAGCTATAATGGGTCCCAAAAATTACTAGTGTAAAACCATTCAACTGGGAAAACCAACGGTCTAATCTTTATAAAAAACGAGAAACGAGAAACACTTATGAACCACATCAACAAACGACAACTACTGAACATCAGATTCCGTGCTTAGGACAGGTGCAAACAATTGCAGAGGGGTTAAACGTTTTAATGGTACCAAACATTCACCCTTATCTGAAACAATAGTGTAACATCACAACATAGAAAGACACACTATAAAATATCAATTGAAATGGCTTCACTCAATCAAAAGACATATTAACACAAGTGAACAAATAGTGAACGAACGAATTTGATCTATGATACTATGTAAATACAGAATCAATAGAATAAGGGATGAATAATTTAACAGTATTATACCGCTGTGAAATGTTAAACAATTTCAGAAAAACAACAATAAGCTTGAACAAAACTCCGCCACTTGCATAAGAAAATGCCTGTACCAAGTCAGGAATACTAAAGTTGTTATCCATTCATTTGATGTGTTTTATCTTTTGATTTGGCATTTGATTAGGGTCATTCCGTTTTGAATTTTCCTCGGAGTTCAGTATTTTTGTGATTTTACTTTTTCAACAATATTGTGTATAATACCATTGCAAATGGCGGAGTTTTGTTCAAGCTTATTGTAAATGAAAATGATTTTGTTTTTAGGTATACATTTAAAAAAGAGGAAGGAAATATTTTTTACAAAATAAATAATACATAAAATAAAAATAACGCAATGATATAAGATAAAATAATAACAATAAGGGAATTGTGCAATTTTGATTGCTTTGTGCAAACCTACCGTAGTTCGAGGATCTTATTTGGGTGCTAGTACACCGGAATGCTGTCCGTCGGGAAGACAACCACTCACGCTTATTAATTTACAATAGTTTTGCGTGAAATCTTTGTTAGAAAGAACAAGTTTTAAAGTCATTGATTTGATTTTCGGCTTTGAAAACGAAACAAATTTGAAAGCCCCAAAAGGAAGACACGAACATAATGAGATACTTGTTGTTTGGAAAACGATTTTGGAAAAAAAACATTTCCAAAGATATGTGCGATTTTCTGTTTAGTTAGCATATTCTAATATCTTGAATTTTTATTATTTCTTTCAACAATATACATTAACTGACGAACTACTTCTTATATATTTTTCATAAATTTAGTTTCTTCTTTTTTATGCTTTTTTAAGTACTACTGATTACGGCCCAACTACATTCCTGATCCGCTAACCATTAACTCTATAATGAACTGCTATATACACTTATAGTAACCGATATTTCTCATGCTAAAAACAACCAGATGTACTGTAGTATTTCTTTAGTGCCACATGTATGACAGTTGAAAATACATTGCGAATGTTTTGTCCAGTTGACCAGGTAATAAAGTGGTAGCCAATCTAAGAAGTTTGGTTGGTTTTGCACGATACCGACTATCTTTGTTGAAACTAGACTTTTTGTTAACTGAATGATTATTAGAACGAGTATATGAAAAACATAAATTGCCCAATTTAGCTTGCCATTTCTCCCTAAAGTTAACTAGGCCTTATGAGAATAAAATTTAGAAAATTCATTCAAATAAGATCTGTTGAAGCCATATAGGATATGTTCCAAATACAGGAAAAAAGTGAAATAGTTGGGTTTGTCATAGGCAGGTTGTCACAAACTCAGACAATGCAATTTTGTTATCAACGCTGTTGTACCAAGTCAGGAATATGACAGTTGTTGTTGTCCATTTGTTTGATGTGTTTGAACTTTTGATTTTGCCATTTGATTAGGGACTTTCCGTTATAGAATTACCTCGGAGTTTAGAATTTTGTGATTTTACATTTTAAATGATTATTTGAATTCATTCGAAACAGTTGAGTTTTTACAATCCCAGGCATAGACGGCATCACCCAGATTTGATTATGGATTTATTTTTTAATTTTTAATGCGCTTCAATTTTTCTTTTGATTCCGCCTTCTTTTTTTCTGATTTGTCATTAGTCTTATATGTTTGATGAGTTTTTTTTAGTCGGTCATACATCAATTTTATGGAAAAATGTAGATACCAAAAAACTGTCCTACATGCGAGGGATGTCTAGGGGTAAAGATGATAGATTGATTATAAAGATCTTAAAAAATCGATGTCGTTTATTTATTATAAAACTTTGACAACGGGGTAACTGTCTAATTACATCTCAGAACATAAAGATTGCTAGGTGTCGTGTTTTGTTATATAATGGTACACATTTTCTCAAAAATTATATAAATTAGATAAAACAAAAAGATTTTCAAGGACTGTACAAGAGAACTATCTATTTAAATCTATCTGTAAGCATATACTAAACTTTGAATGATATATCTTGATATGGTGTAACATCTGAAGCCTGATAATTCACTGAGAATTTATTTGAAAACCAGTGACATTCATTTCTTCATATCAATCTTTGATTAAATATTTATAAACATGCTTGAAATCATTTATCTATAATTTTTAGAAAATGTTAGGAACTCCTATTTTTCTGCTGATGTTTATAGTAAAAGGTTTCACTTGGATAAACTTCATGTAAGTCAAAGAAATAGCAGGCCAATTGTCGAATATTATATAAGTTTTTATTATTTTAAGTAACATTGTAAAGCAGAGCAGTTTCTCTCTTGTAAGCTACAAGAAGTTTGCTGGTCTCTCTATCATAGAAAATAGCTGACGGTTCACGTAGACCATCTTCGTCTGTCAGGATTTCCCTATGGTGTTTTCCATCGTTTGATATAATGACCACATTCGACGACGTTTCTCCGACAACAAACACGTTTCCATCATTATCCACAGTGATGCCTCTAGGGTTCTCTAAAATTGAAGTGTCTTTAAAAGTCCAACCACATGATCCATAACGGTCACAACAAACAACACTATGATCTATCCAGTCAGTGTAGTATATCTTGTCGGCGAATGACGATACACAGGAACCTCCCGGTAAGTTAGACCTGGTCACGTGAGAGGTAATATAATCCACAGTGTTTACTTTAAATATACCTCGTCCTTCAACAAGGACAAACAATGAATCGTGATCACATGTGATTCCATATGGACGACCAGGAAGGCTGATGAACTTTATAATCTTTCGGCTCTCGGTGTCTATTATGTCAATTCCGATATGCTCACGAGAATATCCAGATGTGATAGCGATTGTTTTCTCATCGATTATTGTTATGTCAAACCCATAACTAGGATCTAGAAACATGTTATATTTGAACGTACCATCTGACGAAATAACATTCATCTTTTGTATATATATAAGTAGTCGGTGAAGATAAAATCGTCATTAAATGACACGCAACAGCCTCTAACTTTTTCACAAGTTGTCGTAATTTTCTTCTGTAGAATCAACTTCAAATCCTTAATGGTCTTCGTTGGTGTTACTTGCAACTGTGCTTGTTTGTCTTTCGCTCTGATTAAACAAATGTTACTCAACTTCGTTTTTATTTCAATTGATCCAAAAATTTTGAAACTGTTCACGATACTAAGCACCCCGGGGTCAACCTTACAAATCAGGTCGACTGGGTTGAATTTGTTTGTTTCAGTCAACGATAACAAATATTTTTCATTTTCAAAAACTTTCATCTCAATATCATGCATAACTAGAACTGTTTGAAAATCTGAAGCATGTTGTTTGGTGCTTTGGAGATTGGTCTGATATTCTGTTATCAAGTTTTCCTTTTCTTCAACTGAAGATAAAATCTTCTGAATATTCTCCTTACATTGACGTTCTTTTTTCTCAATGTCTTGTATTATGTCTTTTTCAAGTTTGTCTAAATGTTTGTTAATTTGGTTTCTTATTAGTTTAATTTCTGCAAGATGTATGTCCTTCCTTTCTTCAACACTGACCAAATTAGCTTTACGGTCCTTCTTAATTATATCAATGTTCTGTAATAAGTCCATCAGTCCAGTTTCCAAATCTTGAAAGTGCCCGGATGTCTTCGCGTTGTTTGTGACTTCATCAAGAGGAATGACGTTGCATTTCTGGTGTTCTTTAATGCATTTGAAACAAATAGGTAACGCATGCGCAACACGGTATTGTTGATACTTTTCATTGTGATAGATACATGACTGCTGTATATCAGTAATGAAGGACGGCAGAGATCTGTACTTGGCAATTGGTATAAGTTCGTGACTTCGTGTGGCTTTGAGTACTTTATGATGTTCTTTGCAGTCATCACAAATGGCTACTTCACACTCCGAGCACCAGTGTGTCGATGGTTTGGTTAAATATCGCACTGAACATGGACCACAAAGAGTTGTACATGTAGCCATGGTTATATCTGTAATATGTATTAATAAATATTTGTATTCATAACATCTTATTTAAGAATGCTGTAACTGCAATAAATTTACAAAAATAAATCTTACGAGAAAGAATACTCGGAAGTCATGAATATTTCAGTATCACTTTCGATCAATTTTTTGTCTAAGAACTTTTTGTGAAAAAGGAAACTGCTTAGTTGGTAATCGGTGTTATTTACAGGAATACGATACCAGGGGAACAAGCAAATATGATAAAACAGACAATAACACGGCTAAGAATAGAAATGACGAAAAGACAAACTTCAATATGCATGGTATTTATGGATATAATCATGTCTCAAATTACCCGCAGGGCAAGTGTGAGCTTTTCTCATACCTTTTTGCCTCTCATCGTCTGTCGTCCATAAACTTAATTTTACAGAACTTATCTGAGTGTTTTTATGAGTATTTGTCATTCTTTTTTCAATTTTATCCGTTACCACGATTGCCATGGTAGCAAAGCTTATATATATTAGACATAAGACATCATTTTATTTTACCAATCATGAACCCTAATCGGGAAAGATAAACATCATAATACAATGATTATTATAAAACATGAAAGTTTTTAGTGAAAATTCACAATACACAATACACAAGGAATTATAGTTTCTCATTTTGTAGTAGTTCTCCTCAATGATTTAATAATACAAACTACGATAACATGAATAACCGGAAATATTAAACAACATCTACCACCAATACCCGAATCTTCCGACAATATTAAAAAACCAACAACCGCCTCCTACGAAATATTAGACGACACTAACCACCAACACCCGACTCATCCGAACTATCGGACAACAATTACCATGAACACCGGACTCCTCCGAAAAAATCAGACGCCAACACTAACCACGAACACCCGACTCCTCCAAAAATTCTACGCATAAACAAACAAAAACTAGCAATGCATAGTCCAGATAGACATATAGGCACAGCACTTTCACTATCCAGGTTCAAACGGGATGACTGCTATATAGAAAATGAACATTATATCTACCAAATGTTTTGTTAAACAGGATAAACTCTACTCGCCACTACAGGGTGCTTAATGTTTGGTTGAATTCTGCCGCTAATGAAAACAAATCGAGAAAAACACTCACAACACGTCAATCTACATCTGGGGATACACTGTTCCGTAAACAAACACAAGACGGCTAACCATTACCACTAAATAACAAAAAACAGATACCTACAGGCTTTCAGAATGGAAAAACAGCCAAAACTTTAGGACAAGGACTAAATCACGATCAATCTAGAGGAGGTAATCAAACACAACAGTAGGGAATGTCATTTGTCTAGAAGTTAGATTATCATTTTGACATGACGTCAATTAAAAACACAAGGAGACTCTTACTGTTTGTCTTTTTATTTTTGGCCATGGCGTTGTCAGTTTATTTTCGATCTATGAGTTTGACTGTCCCTCTGGTATCTTTCGCCCCTCTTTTACTCGAGTTGAAATTCGGAACTCTATTAAAACTATTATTCTAACGGTAGAACGATCATTTGAATTTAAGGTGGACGTTGGACGACCATGTTGGGGGTAACATATTAATTTTTGTTCACTCGCTTCAACTGTTGCTAGTTAGGCTTATCTTTTCCGTGAGTCTCTGTCGAGCGAACAACTGTTTTCGCTCATTTACACAACTATTTTTAGCATTGTCTTACATTTTATTGGACAGAATATTGATTTTCATTCTGAGTCAGTCTATGAGGGTCTGGATTTGGTCCTTCATTTCTGTTTTTTTTCAAATTTTAGACTATTTTTCTGTATTCTTTGTTTGTTTGTATACTTATTCTATATTTTTTTTTAATTTTTTGCCAATGTTTTGCACTTTTTATCCATTATTCTCTATTTTGTAAACCTAATCCAGAACCTCGTGTATCGTATGATTTTTAAAGAAAATAAATACTGATAAGTAAACTTGAAAACTTACAAGTAAATGTTTAAAATTTAAAGTTACATGAGTAAGGCGAATACAATTCATTGTGCAGTCAGCATTGAAAAACAAATAATCGAAACAAATAGTGCAATACTTGATAAGTTCAGTATAACATAATCAATAGCATGTCCGACCTTGCCCGTATAACATATTATATCGACATCATCGATAATTTTATATTGTAGCAGTTGTTTCAAGAACAAAAATCTAATAATATTATACATGTAACTATCTTCTCAATTCAAATCTGTAATTTTAAAACAATTTGTGTCATTTCTATTACAATGGCCAATACATAACCATGCATGACTATGATTTTATACAAAACATGTATTAGAAACATTTTGAAATGAATTTGTATCATATCTCTAGATTAGAATAAAAGGGATTGTACGATAAATGTTCTTACAAAAGCAATATGTCTAAAAAGTATATACAATATTGATTGATTGCAAAATCTTACCTGAAACAAATCTAAAAATAAGTACAATGAAGAAAAACGACACATGATATCTTCTAAGTGTATGTCACATGATGTATACTGAGTACCTTTAAAAACGAAACACATAAAAATGTTTATATTTCAGTTTTAGACACTATGAGAGTTACAATACAAAATACTTCTATGGAGCGATTCCTGGACAATTTTGTTATGCATTACGAGATCAATTTGTTGTCGCATCGATTCTTTTCAGTAATTAATTAACTGTTTGTCTTGTATGGTTCAAATGTGAAATCCCTATGTTCTCCTCCAAATGATTACATTAGACATATCTTTATAATATTTTGTTGTTTTGTTTGCTGTCTCATAGAAGTTTACAACACATCTCTTTTTATTCATTAAGTTTAATCATATAATGCGACAGTTTCTAACGTTTGTAGACTAAACTTCAGATTGACTTATACATTTCTACAGACTGTTGAACAGCCTTTGATATCGATAGAATGATTAAATTTTGCTGGTCACGTTTCAGTTTTTTGCTATGGTATTTTCGGTTTTTTTTTACTTATAAGTTTGAATATCCCATTGACGTTTTTCGTCTCTCTTCTGTAATCGACGACTAGAGACATTTACATAAAGTGAAAAGAAGTAGAACGTACAGCGCCCGATTTAGTAAATCTTGAATTCATTGACCTACATTAATTCATCATTTGCTTTAGAAAATATCGTGCTGATTCTTTAATCAATAGTACAAAATGACTACACAAATGTGCACTTATCATATGATAAGAAATAACGTTTAGAGCTCCATCAGTAAATTACAAAAATTCATATTTAGTTATGCAAAAAAGAATGTAGTCCAGCGACTGATTACTGAATTATTGTGCTGCAAACTTTAATATTAAGAAAGAATAGTAGACTGGTGATACGTACAAGTGACATCAGACTAGCTTTTAAACAAAGACTAATTTGAAAAAGTACCGCCATTAGAGATCAGATGACTCGGCATTACTCTCCCTATGCATGATGAATTACCCGTCAAACCATTGTAAAGTAATATCCAGTAGTAATTGTCAATGTCGGGAGCAGAGACCAAAAAAAAAAAGAAGAAAAAATATTGTCCGATTGCCAATAAACAAGTTTTTAAAAAATGTTTAGATTTTTGACATTTCTGAGTAGCTGACCAGTAGCGCTTACAGAAATGTTATGTACACTTATAGTTACCGATATTTCTCAGGCTAAAAATGACCAGATGTACTGTTGTTTTTCTTTAGTGCCATATGTATTGCAATTGGAAATACATTGCGGATGTTTTTGTCCAGTTTACCAGGTAATAAAGTGGTAGCCAATCTTAGTCTTGTGATTGGTTTTGCACAATACCGACTATCTCTGTTGAAACTAAGCTTTTTGTTAACTGTATGATTAATAGATCGAGTATACAAAAAACATGAATTGTCCAACCTAGCTTTCCATTTCTCCCTAAAGTGAACAAGGCCTTATGAGAATAGATTTTAGCATATTCATTCAAAAAAGATCTCTTAAAGCCATATATGACATGTTATTAATAAAGGGAAAAAGTAAAATGGTTGGATTTGTCATAGGCAGGTTATCAGAAACTCAGAGAATGCAATCCTGGTCATTTTTAAAAATTAACTGTTTGCAAAAGTATGCAAAGTACCTTTGATAACTACTGTTATCAACACTGTTTTAAATGATCATTCGAAACAGTCAAGTGTTTACAATCCCAAGCATAGACGGCACCACCAAGACTTTATAATGGATTTATTTTCTATTTTTAAGGCGATTAAACTTCTCTTTTGATTCCGCCTTTTTTTTTTGTCTGATTTGTCATTAGTTTTGTATGTTTGATGAGTTTTTCAGTCTGTCATGCACAATTTTATGGACAAATGTACATACCAAAAAACTTTTCTTCATGCGTTGGATTTCTAGGGGTAAAGAGGATAGATAGTTTATAAATGTCTAAAAAAGTCGATGTCGTTTATTTATTATAAAACTTTGACAACGGGGTAATTGTTTAATTTTATCACAGAACATAAAGATTGCCAGGTGTCGTGTTTTGTTACATGATTGTACACACTTTCTCAAATGTTAAATAAATTAAATAATTCAAAATAGATTTTCAAGGACTGTAAATCTATCTGTAAGCATACACTTAACTTTGAATGATATATCTTAATATGGTGTAACATCTGAAGCCTGATAATTCACTGAGAATTTATTTGACATTCATTTCTTCATATCAATCTTTGATCAAATATTTATAAACATGCTTGAAATTATTTATCTATAATTTTTAGAAAGTGTTTGGAACACCTATTTCTTCTGATAATTATAGTAAAACGTTTCACTGGTATAAATTGTATGTAAAACAAAGAAAAAGCAGGCGAATTGTCATATAAAACATATTATTTTTAATCATTTTTAAGTAACTTTGAAAAGAAAAAGCAATGTCCATTGTTTTCGCAACAAGAAGTTTCCTGGTCTGATTATTAAAGAAAATATCAGACGTTTCACGTATACCATCTTCTTTTGTCAGAATTTCTCTGTGAAGGATTTCCAACGTTTGAAATAATGAACACATTAGTAAAGATCCCTTCAACAACAAACACGTTTCCGTCATTATCCACAGTGATTCCTTTCGGATCTGTCAAAACTGATTCATCTTTAAAAGTCCAAACACGTGACCCATAACGGTCACAACAAACTACACTGTTATCATAGCGGCCAGTGTAGTATATTTTGTTGTCGAATACAGATACGTAGGATAACCACGGCAAGTTACAACTGATCACGTGAGAAGTAGTATAATCCAACATTTTTACTTTTAATATACCACGGCCTTCAACACAGACAAACAGCGAGTGATTCCATATGGACGACCAGAAAGGCTGATGAACTTTATTTTCTTTCGGCTCTCAGTGTCTATTATGTCAATTCCGATGTGCTCAGTCGAATCTCCAGATGTGATAGCGATAGTTTTCTTATCGATAAGTGTTATGTCAAACCCATAACTAGGATCAAGCAACATATCATATTTAAATGTACCATCTGACGCAATGACAGTAAGCTTTCTTCTTGAGTTGCGATTAGTGAAAAAATATTCGCCATTTACTGACATGCAACAACCCCTAATATGCTCACCTTTTGTTGTAATTTGCTGCTGTAAAATTAACTTCACACAGTTAATGGTCTTCGTTGGTGTAACTTGCAACTGTGCTTGACTTCGCTCTGGTTAGAGGAATGTTACTGGGCATGGCCGGCGTTTGTATTTCAATGGATCCTCCAAAATTCTTCACCCTGTTCGAGATACTAATCACCCTTTGGGTTTACATTACAAATCAGGTCGAATTTGTCGAATTTGTTATTTTCAACAAACGATTGTAAATATTGTTCGTTTTCAAAAACTTTAATCTCAATGTCTCTCATTACTACAAATGTTTGAAGATCGGATGTATGTTGTTTGATGCTTTGAAGATTGGTATGATATTCTGTTATAAAATTTTCCTTTTCTTTAACTGATGTTAAAATCTTCTGAATATTACCCTTACATTGAAACTCTTTTTTCTCGAGATCTTGTATTATTTCTTTTTCAAGTTTATCTAAACGTCTGTTCACTTGGTTTCTTATTTGTTGAATTTCTGCAAGATGTATCTTCTTCCTTTCTTCAATACTGGCCAAATTAGTCTTTCGGTCCTTCTTAATTATATCAATGTTCTGTAATAATTCCATCAGTCTAATTTCAAAATCTTGAAAGTGCCCGGATGTCTTTGCGTTATTGGTGACTTCATCAAGAGGAATGACGTTGCATTTCAGGTGTTCTTTAATGCATTTAAAACAAATGGGTAACGCATGTGCAACGCAGTATTGTATATACTTTTCATTGTGATAGGTACATGACTGCTGTATATCTGTAATGAAGGACCGAAGAGATTTGTACTTGGCAATTGGTATGAGTTCGTGACTTCGTGTGGCTTTGAGTACTTTGTGATGTTCTTGGCAGTCATCACAAATGGCTTCTTCACACTCCGAGCACCAGTGTGTTGATGTTTTGAATATTTGTCGTTCTGAAAATGGACCACACGGAGTTGTACAAGTAGCCATGGCAATATCTGAAATTTGTATTATTAAATATTTGTTGTCATAACATCTTATTTAAGAATGCTTTTTCTGCGATCATTTTCACAACAAATCTGACCAGACAAAATACTATACTAAGTCATGAACGTTTCAGTATGACTTAAAATCAATTTTTGTCGTTACATGTTATGTGAAACAGAGCGCTTATTGGTTGGTACTCGGTGTATTTTTGATGATTTTTCCTCAATCTGCACATACCTTTGAGTTTCCCATTGTGTGTCTTCGTCATCATTCGTAATCCTCAATCTTAATTTCAGAATAGATTTGAGTGTTCCTATGAGTATTTGTCATTTTTTTTCAATTGTATTCTTTATCATGGTAACAAAAGACAGGCGAAAAATACCAAACGGACATTCACACTCAATAGTTGAAAATAAACTCACAACAACATAGCTTAACAAGAAGAAGACTAACAGACAAATAATAGTAAGACAATACAAAATAGAAAACTACAAAATTTGGTTTACATTTGTAATAGCTTCCTTGTGAGCTTCTATCCGCAAGCCTCTGTCAAGGAAATCATAATTGGTTATATAAACCCTTGAATATTAAATCAATTGGTAGATATGTACTCCGTATGAAGGCGCTGCTGGAATGTTGCTACATAGGAATTGCAAGTTCACAATTGGGAAGCTAAAATTGTCACTTTTGTTGTACAGTTTCTTTTCAACCGACCCTCATTGTCAATTTCTAGATGTAAGTCAAAGTATGAGGCAGACTTAGTTGTATCAGTTTTATCCTGTATCTCAAATTCGATGGGATAGATGCGGTCAACATAGATACCAAATTTTGAATTAGTGAAAGAGCATCATCTATATAGCGGAAAGTAAAGTTAAAGGATTCTGTTTACATCTTTTCTTTTCCTAAGAAGTTTCTGTATGAGGACAGCCACAAATAAATAAAGTAACAATTCAGCAAAAT